ACGTCAAGGCGCAGCTCCTCGTCGTTCCCCAGAGGCCAGGAACGCCGCCGCTGCAGGTGCATATGTGTGTGCATGTGTGTGTATGTGTGCATGTGTGTGTCATCGCCGGGCTGTACTGTCTCCCTGCTCACATTTTGCTCGTGTGGTGTGATGATGTGACTTCATGTTCTTGGTTCGCACTGACCAGCTCGCCGAAGAGGACGAGGAAGAAGAAGGAGAGGACAGCGGAAAGCCAACGCCTGCTGCAGCGAAGCCCGAACCAACAGCGCCCATGGAACCAACAGCGCCCATGGAACCAACAGCGCCCATGGAACCAACAGCACCCATGGAACCAACAGCACCCATGGAACCAACAGCACCCATGGAACCAACAGCACCCATGGAACCAACAGCGCCCATGGAACCAACAGCACCCATGGAACCAACAGCACCCATGGAACCAACAGCGCCCATGGAACTAACAGCACCCATGGAACCAACAGCACCCATGGAACCAACAGCGCCCATGGAACCAACAGCACCCATGGAACCAACAGCGCCCATGGAACCAACAGCGCCCATGGAACCAACAGCACCCATGGAACCAACAGCGCCCATGGAACCAACAGCGCCCATGGAGGCCACGGTTCCTGCTGTTGCACCAACGCTGCCGCTGCCGCGTGGTGTGCAGCCAGGCGTGGACGATGAGGCAACGCAGGTGCTTGGTGACTATGGCGATGACGCGGCGACGCAGATCATTGGCACCCCTCCTCGTGGTGTTGACACGTCCACAGCAGCGTACGATGCTTCCACCCTCATGCAACGCTCACCCGCACGCCACAAACGCACACTTGCAACAGCAGTGGCAGCAGCAATGGACACGAGCGGGGACACCAACAACAACAACGATGATAAAGATGATGATGCTGATGATGACGACACGACAGATGACGAGAGGCGCGATGCAACCAAAGACAACGACGCTGGTGATGGGGGTGATGGTGATGGTGATGGTGATGGAGGTGGCCTTACGTCGTTCAGTCGCATCAGCCAGCTGCAGTTGAAACGATCAGCACGACCAGCACCACCATCACTGCCATCGCCTGCTGGGACTGTACGGGCGAACCAGCAGACAGCCGCTGGCGACGATGGTAGCGGTGGTAGTGGTGATGGTGATGGTGATGGTGATGATGGGACCGAAGAGGAGAAGAAAGGCCAGCACGAGCAAGGTGATAGGAAGAAGAAGGAGGAAGCGGCTGGTGTGAAGGGCCAGGAGGCAACGGAAGAAGGGGGCGTGGCAACCGAATCAATGGTAGATGAAACGCAGACTCGGCAGCAGGAGGCTGGTGAGGGCTCCACAGCCCAGCGGTCCTCACTGCAGTCCTCCACACAGTCTTCCCGTGTCGAGTCGCCAACAAAAGCGCGCCCGAGCTTGGTTCGCGACCGGTCTGTCACAACGAAGCTGCTCGAGGCGTCTGCCACCGCATCCAAGCCAAAACACGAACGCAAGGTGCAGTGCGAGTGTGTGTGTGTGTGTGTGTGTGCGTGTGCGTGTGTGTGTGTGTGTATGTGTCTGCAAAGCACTCACTCTGCATGGGTGTGCTTACGTGGTTGCTATTTGATCTCTTATTCCCCTTCTACAGCTGCCTGGGTTCTTCTCCTCCCCCGCCACCAGCCCTGCCAAGACCAGGAAGAGCAAAGCCCGCACAAATGCAGCACCAGACTGGGAGACCGTTCCCCTCACGCAGGTGGGCTGCTGCCGTGCACCAGCGGGGGAGTGTCTCTGGTTGTGCGAATGCTTTCAGTGGGTGGTTTCGTGCTGCCGTGTTCGCGAGAGTATCGCTTGCTTGCTTTTGGTAGTGCCTGTATTCCTTTTTCCCTCTCACCAACACTGCCCCCCCCCCACACACGCACGCACACAGATAATGCCGCGGGATGTTGAAGAGATGACAACAGCAGAATTGCGGACGGTGTTGCGACGGCTGGGCGCCAAGCGATCAGGTGATGATGATGATGTTGTTGATGACGGTCATGGTGTTTGAGCAGCGCACACCAATGAACCATGCACACGTCACATCCTCATCACACACACACACGCACACACAAGTCTGCACATGAATCAATGCACACAGACAAACACACACACGACTGCACGCGTGCTCACTGCTGTTGTGCGCGTTGCTGGCGTTGCAGGGGTGAAGGCAGAGCTGCAGGACCGGCTGATGGATGAGTTGGAGGTACTCAAAGACAGCACAGGCGGTGACGACCAGAGCGAAGAAGGCGGTGAGACGGGTGAAGGGGAACAGGAAGGCAATCATGGAGATGAAGTGCAGCAAAAGCAAGCCAAGCCGTTATCCCAATCACCACCACCACCACCACCACCACCACCAGCCACAGCTACAACCACAGCAGCAACATCATCGACCACGACGAGCCTGCGTCGGTCTGGTCGCGCTGCGGGGCGGAAAGCGCTTTCGAAGATCAAGGACGTGGTGAAGGAAGAGCGAAGGAGAGGAGGGGGAGGTTATGGAGATGATGATGGCGATGGTGAAGACAGCGACACGGACGGGGGTGGCGATGGCACGGATACGGGCGATGATGACGATGAAGAGGAGGAGTTTGTGGCGCACGTGAGCGAAGAAGATGATGACGAGGAGGAGGAAGAGGAAGAAGAGGAGGAGGAGGAAGAAGCGGGGCGTGTTGCAACGATGAACGACAGCTTGGTGCAGGAGCTGCTGTCCAACAGGCAGGAGGAGAATGCAGACAACAAGGAAGCCAAGACTGCCGCGGCAGCAGCAACACGAAGGCATGCAGCGGACAAAGGAGAGAAGGAAAAGGTGGAAAAAGCAAAGGAAGGGAAGCAAGTCGCTCGTGGTGGTGAAGATGAAGAGGGAGATGTGACAGACATGGAGGAGGAACATGAAGAGGAGAAAGAGGAAGAGCACGAGGAGCGGGCTGCAGGAAAGGCATCACAACAGGCAGAGAAGAAGCAACTGCAGCAACCAGCACCAGTCGAGACCCAACGTGTGCCACAGCAAGGGGAGCAGGCAGCGGGTGGCGGCCAGGTCGTGGCCAGGACGACAACCGGGGCTGAGAAGGAGGAGGAGGACAAGGAGGAGGAGGATGAGAACTCGCTACTCACAGGCATGATGATGATGGATGAAGATGACGGTGATGGTGGTGAGCGCGAGGCAATGAACATGACCGCGTCCACAACGAGTGGCGACGAGACGACGATGCTTGTTCCGCCATCTGTGTTCAACACGACGCCACCATCCTTTGATCGAACGACCAGCAGTGAGGGAGATGCGTCGTTCCAGGCGCCCTTGCCCCACGTGCACGCTGATGGCACACCACAAGCAGCGACAGCACCAGTACCAGGTAAAGGGGTGGCAGCAGCCGTTGCCGGGTCACCGCTCGCACGCGTACACACGTCCGCAAGTGATGCTGATGCCGGCACAGCAACGAAGAAAGACGACACAGGGATTGCCGAGGGGCACGATGCACACAACCACGAGCAAGAACAGCAGAAACCAGAAGAAGACAAAGAGGAGGAGGAGGAGGAGGAGGAGGAGGAGGAGGAGGAGGAGGAGGAGGAGGAGGAGGAGGAGGAGGAGGAGGAGGACGATGACATGGAAACGCAGGGCTTCGACGTGACGCGAGGGCTACTGGAAACCACAACAGCGAGTGATGACAGTGGCTGGCTGCGTCCAATGCAGCAGAAGGAAGGAGACGGGGGAAAGGGAGGTGTGGGCGAGGCCCGGAAGCAGGAGGAGGAGGAGGAGGAGAAGGTCGAGAAGGCGCCTCAGGCCACGGGCGATGGTGACGTTGGTAGTGGTCATGGGAACGGCACACAAGAGACGTTTGTTCGCGACACTGCGCCCCCTTCCATGCAACAACAGCAGCAGCGACAACAAGAGGAGGAGGGCAGCGGTGACGTGTCGACACATTCACCAGCAACTGCAACTGGGACAACGGCGCAGGCAGATGTGACCTCAACACCAAGCGTCACAACAGCGTCTGTAAGTCGTGACGGCGACGAGGCTGTGGCCGAACTGATGCGATTGCATCACGGTGACAGTGCGGCGGTGACGCAATCGTCCACGCCCACCTCAACCGCTGCGAGCAAGCGGTCAACGCGGCACGCAAGCAGCAGTGGCGGTGATGAAGAGGGAGAGCCTACTGTGGGTGTGGCGGGAGAACAGACCAAGAGGACCACACCCCCTGCCGGTCATCACGAGCGGCAGCAGCAGCAGCAGCAGGCAAAGGGGTGGATGCAGCGGCTTCGCGCACCAGGTGCGTTTGGTGTTGGTGCTGGTGGTGTTGAGAGCACGAACATCACAACAGACCTGCCAAGTGGTGTGGCAACTGCAGCAGCGTCAACCAAAGGGACGCCAAGGCGTACCGGTGGTGGTGGTGAGGTGGGGATGCTTGACTTGAGCACGATTCCGCCAGATGTGGCAGAAGAAGAAAGTGAGAGACAGGACGAAGATGAAGGGGTGAAGAAAGGCGGTGGCGGTGTGATTGCATCCACGCCAATTGGGCGAGCAGGAAAGCGGAAGGCAGCAGAGGAGGAGGAGAAAAATGTGGGTGGGAGCACGAAAGACGTCGGGGTCGCAGAGGACGAGGAAGAGGGCGAAGATGAAGGAGCAGGGCAGGATGAGCCTGTGCCAAAACGGGCGCACAGGGGAGGAGGACGGCTGCATCTGTCGCTCAATCTCGGGCCCGATGATGAGAAGACGGACGACGAGGAAGAAGAAGGTGAAGGTGAAGAGGATGAGGAGCAGGAGGAAGTGAGGCAGGTAAAGCGAGGGAAGGGCACGAAACAAGCAGAAACGAAGGGGAGAGGGAAGGGAAAGCAAACGAGAGCGGTGAGACGGACAGCACGAGGTAAGCGGCAGCACGGCGATGAAGGCGAGGAAGCAGCAGCAGTTGTTGGTGGCGGCGATGGTGGCGATGGAGGGAGGCAGCCAGCGAAACGAAGCAAGAGCCAGGCGAAGGAAGAGGAGGTGGCTGAGGACGAAGGGGCCGAGGAGACTGAGGATACTGGTGCGCGGAGACGAGGAGGAAGGCGGGTAACGCGGCGACAGAGCACAGCGAGGGCGAAGGCGGCAATGAAGAAGACACGGACAAGCACACGGGGGAAGAGGAAGAAGAGCGCAGAGGAAGAAGAGGAAGCAGAAGAGGAAGCAGAAGAGGAGGTGATGATGAAGGAGGAGGAGGAGGGAGAGGAAAAGACAACAACAGCAGCAGCAACACGGCAAAGTCGAAGGGGCAGTAGCCGTGGCAGCACACAGAAGAAGAAGGCAAAGCAAGAAGGAGTGGGAGAGGAAGAAGACACGAAGCAAGAGAAGAAGCAGAAGGGAAAGAAGGGGAAGGCAGCACTGGATGAGGCAACGACAACAAGTGCTGGCGATGCTGGTGCAGACAACATTGTTGTCATGTTTACTGGCATCGAAGACCCATCTGTGGAGTGAGTCATTGAAATGCTCATGCGCGCGCGTGTGTGATGCGTGTGTGTGTGCGTGCGTGTGTGTGTGTGGGTGTGTGTGTGTGTGATGCGTGTGTGTGTGATGCGTGTGTGTGTGTGTGTGTGTGTGTGTGTGTGTGTGTGTATGTGTGTGTGGTCGTGGCGACCCGCTGTTCACCTCTACCGTCGCTGCCACCACCACCTCACATGTGCACACGCCAAACTTCCGCCTCCAACCTCGCCATTACTCCTTCAGACGGAAGATCAAGCAGCTGGGCGGACGCGTTGTGAAGAGCGGCACCGACTTCAACGTTCTGTTCACGGACGGCGTCCACCGCACTGTCAAGTTTCTCGCTGCCCTTGCACGCGGTGTTGCTGTTGTCGGCTATCCCTGGATCAAGGCCAGCACCTCCCGCACAGGGTTTGCAGGTAGAGAGAGAGTGTGTGTGTGTGTGTGTGCGTGTGTGTGTGTGTGTGTGTGTGTGTGTGTGTGTGTGTATGCGTGAGAGTGTGTATGCGTGTGTGTGTGTGTTTGGAGTAGGAAGTGGGGTTTTCAGCCATAGCTGAAACGTATCGCACTCGCTTGTTGATTTTCGCCTGCTTCATCGCCTGCTCCAATGCTCGTGTCATGTTGCTGTCCGCGTCCTCACCCAATGGGCGCACGCAAACACATGTACACAGATCCAATGAATCATCTGTTGAGCGATCGCGCAGCCGAGCGAAAGTTCAAGTTCAAACTTCGCGGCGCAATCACGGCTGCGCGCAGCAGTGGCGGTTTGTTGTCTGGACTTTCGGTCCACATCACCAAAGGCGTCAAACCGCCGCCAAAGGACATGCAGACCATCATCGAGGCAGCCGGTCAGTCGTGTGTGTGTGTGTGTGTGTGTGTGTGTGTGTGTGTGTGTGTGTGTGTGTGTGTGTGTGTGTGCATGTGTGTGTGTGTGTGTCCGCTCGGAGATGTCCTCACTGTGCGCAATCCATTCCATCCCCACCCCCATCATCACCACCAACAACAGGCGGCTCGTGCGTGCCGCTGTCATTGCTTCCGCCGGATGGCATCATCGTGACCACGCCACGCGAGGCCAAGCGGCTCAGGAAGGACCACCCAGACGCGGTACGGAACGCACACGTTTGCTGCTGCTGCTGCTTGTATGTGTATGTGTGTGCTTGTGCGTGTGTGTATGTGTGTGTCTTCCTGTCTCTGTTCTAAGGGGCTCCCTATGCACCTCCGCTATCACATTCTCGACAGATTTCAATCGTCCCCTCACATGTGTACGCCCTCCCCCCCCTAACCCTTTTTGTGCCATTGCAGGCGTTTGTCTCTTCTGAGTTTGTGCTCACGGGCATTTTGCGACAGGAGGCAGATACAGAGGCACACAAGATCTGATCCTTGTGTGTGTGTGTGTGTGTGTGTGTGTGTGTGTGTGTGTGTGTGTGTGTGTTGCTTCATTGTCATCTTCATGGGCTTGCGCTCGTTAGAATGAGTGCGATGCGTCTTTGCTCTTGTGTTCATTACTGTCAGCGTGAGTTGCTGTCGATTTGCGGCTGGTGATTGTTTAAACGGCGCTTATCCAAGCGAGCACGAGCAGCAATCGCCAAGTCATGAATAAGCCGGCGCGCACGTGTTCACAAGCAGGTCGTGGGGCGCGCGCGCACACACACACACACGTAGCGTATTGCTTGCTTGTCTATTGCTCCTGCAGTTGCTTGAGGGCGGTGGTGCGGAGACGATCAAAGCTCACATCGCCGCCGTCCTCAAGCGCGTGCGCCAAGATGATGTGTTCGCCACGCGTGTAGAAGTACCCGGTGAACGGCGTTGCTGTCAACCAAGAAAACGAGCAAACAGAAGCAAAGACAGCTTGAGGGTGAGTCAACCTGGCTGAGGGGGACCAGATACAATGGCTGACTTGGTATCTGGAGCAGGACATACACATACACACACGCACACACACACACACACCTGCCAGGAGGCGCGGAAACCAGATGTGATCGTCAACCCACATGTGGTGAAACGGAATGGCGTCGACATCAAACCACTCTGGCCGCATCTGTCGTGCATGTGAACATCATGTCGGTTACAACATCAGACATGCGAAATGAAAGCGACGGCAACTTGATATACTTTTGTGCAGTCCGAACAACAGTGGCATCGTCCTATCGTCGTCAGTGCTTGCAAGCAACTGTGAAGGCATGAGGCTAGGGCTATGTAAACTTCTGTGAGCACCTCTTCTGACTCCTGCGCGTTGCCCGTCCAAGCGGTCGCTTCGAAGACGTGCACATGAAGCACTTTCGGGCTGCCCTCAAACTCGTAGTAGAGTTGGCCACGCGGCACCATTGTCTGCGCATCCAAGGAACTCTCCTATCATGAGCGTGTGTGCAGGCAGGCAAGCAGGCAGCACGAGGAAGCTGAGTTGAGTTGTCTGTGAGCAAGTCAAGCGCCGGGGGGTGGCAGGTCTGCAGAGCCGTGCATGGAATCGGCTATTAGGCTTCTTGACTGCTCGGCTGCTGTGCGGTGTAGCGGTGTGCTATGAGGAGGACGCGAAGTGAGCAAAACCTCTTTGAGTTCGCGAATGGCGGCCTGCTCCACTGTTTCCCCAGGCTCCAGCTTCCCGCCTGTCAAGAGGCAGTGGCAGTGCAAGTGAAGAAGAGAGCAAGCACGTAAGTGTGTGTGCGCATCTACACGTAGAGGTGAGCAGGTGTGAGTGAGCAAGAGACCTAGAGAGGCTGGGCTTGTGTGAAGGACGTAAGCACACCCACACACATGCACACACACACATGCACACACACATGCACACACACATGCACACACACATACACACACACATACACACACACACACACACACACATGCATGCACACTGACCGAATCCGTTGAACCTGTCGGATCCAAAGCCGCGCTTCTTCATGCCAAGGAGTACGCGCTTCCGCGGCAACCCCACACCCTCTCCGTTGCCATTATCATCGCCATCACTGAACACAAACACGAGTGTGAGGTCCTTCATCCACAGGTCGTCCGCTGGTGTCGCGACGCTGGATTGCTCTTTGTCTGCCATCTTCCTTGTCTTGTGCAGAACAGGTGTTACAGTGCAGGTGTTGTTGCGCAGTTATGACAACGCAGGTTCAGATTTGAATTGGACGCTCCAACACTCCTTTGTGAGTTTCAAGGTGCTGTCCTTCTGCCTCCAACTTGATGTTTTCGTTTACAAGTCTGACAAGTTAAGAAGTCATGACGGTCGCCCTCGCCACTTCTTCTGTGAAGGCCCGAGACGACACGCGTGTCGCACACGCACACACATGCACACACACACACACACACACACATGTATACACGCACGTATGTATTGCTTGCTTGTCTATTGCTCCTGCAGTTGCTTGAGGGCGGTGGTGCGGAGACGATCAAAGCTCACATCGCCGCCGTCCTCAAGCACGTGCGTGAGAATGGTTTGCTCGCCGCGGAACAGGAAGTACCCGGTGAACGGTGTCGCTGTGGTTGATGGGCGAGGGAGGAGTGTGCAGCATTACATTTGTGCGTGAAGGAAGAACAAGAAATGGCAAAGGCGTCAGTGTGGTGTATGTAGTGAAAGGGGGAAGGGGTGCAGGGAGACATGGCACACACACACACACACACACACACACACACAAATGTAAACATGCACCCGCACGTGAAAGCACATGCATACGCACACACCTGCCAAGAGGCGCGGGAACCAGAAGCGGTCGTCGGCCCACATGCGGTCGAAGGGGATGGAAGCAACGTCAAACCATTCTGGACGCATCTGCCCAGCACAAGCGCACATCACAGCATGAGGAATTGTCCGCAGTAACATTACATGTAAACGTACACACAGAGCCACGCACACATTGACAGACACAAACATACACACAGAGACACAGGCACATAGACAGACACACACACACACAGAGTCACACAGACAGACAGACAGACACACACACACACAGACACAGACAGACAGACACTCACACACAAACAGACACACACTCACGCAAACTACCCCCCCCCCCCCCCCCCCCCCAAAAAAACACACACACACGGCACCTCGTCAGATTCGGCGGCGTCCCCAGTCCAAGCGGTGGCTTCAAACACGTGCACGTGCAGCACTTTTGGGCTGCCCTCAAACTCAAAGTAAATCTGGCCCCGGGGCTCCATCGCCTGCGCATCCAAGAAGCTCTCCTGCATACGCGATGGCAAGCAGGCCAGTGCAAAGGAATGAGTGTGGCAAAGCTTCACTGAGTTTGAAGCAGGGCTCCACCCACATCGCCGTTGCTTGAGTGTCAGTGATTGTCCCTCTTGGCCGATTCACGAATACACTTGACAGACCTCCTTGAGTTCACGGACGGCGCCCTGCTCCACGGTCTCCCCGGGTTCAACCTTTCCGCCTGCCATGCAGTGGAAGCAAGGGAGTGAGGTTGTGCGCGCACGTGTCTGCAGGTGTAAGCAGGCAAGCAAGAGTAGGACACTGGACTCGTATGGAGAAAACACACACACACACACATACACGCATGCATACACACACATACACACACACGCACACGTACAAGCACACACACATACACACACACATACACACACACGCACGCACAGTTGTACGCACACACAAGAACACACACTCACACACACACACACACACAAGCACACACAAGCACAAACACACACACAAACACACACCCACACACATGCACACACATGCACACACATACACACACACACATGCACACTGACCGAACCCGTTGAACCGGTCGGACCCAAAGCCGCGCTTCTTCATGCCAAGGAGTACGCGCTTTCGCGGCAACCCCACACCCTCTCCATCGCCAACATCACCACCATCACCCCCGCCACTGAACACAAACACGAGTGTGAGGTCCTTCATCCACAGCTCGTCCGCTGGCGTCAAGTTTCCCTGTTGCGCCATCGCGTCAGTCTCGTTTATATCTTCAGCTACTTTTCCGAACTGCCCTCCAAACCAAACAAACAGGTGAAGATGGCTCGTTTGTCGTGGCGCGGCAGCGCTGGCTTGGTGCTGGCGGTGGTCATGGCGGTGGTGAGTGGCAACGTGCAGCCTGCGATGGCTGTGCCGCTGGAGACAATGAGGCTGGACGGTTCTGCTGATGTGACAGCGGTGTCCCAGGACACGGAGACAGCGGTTGTTGCTTCATCCGCTGCAAACAAGACGGTGGCAAATGTCGGCGTTGTGCTTCCCACCGCAACCGTGAACGCCGTGGTTCAGGCAGTCGAGCCTGCATTGGCTGAGCTCCTGACAAAGATCGAACTTCCCACGTGCTGGTGCGAGAACACTTGCGAATCGCTTGCGTGTGTGTGTATGGTGTATGGTGTATGTGTATGTGTATGTGTATGTGTATGTGTATGTGTATGTGTGTGTGAATATGGGTGATCATGCTGTCGTCGATGCAACTATTATTTGTGTGTGTGTGTGTGTGTTTGATTGTTTACGTTTGTTGCCGCTTGACTTGCTTTGCTTTCTCGTTGGCCCAAGCCTTGCGTGCCCGTCTTATCCCCACGCGATGGGTTCTGTTTTATTGTTAAACACGCTGCGTTCATGACACACTTTCGTTGTTGCATCAATTAGCTACGATTTGCTCGGCCAGCACTTGGACTTCCAGAACATGTCCATCGCAAAGGGAAACTTGTCGTTCAACTTGGCATCCACCACCAATGAACTTCACCTCAACGGCAACATCTCCCTGCCCATCAAAGGCTTCTATCGTAAGACACCGTACACGACAAACAAGGGCATTCTTGAAGAAGCGTACTTTTGTGAATATGTTTGTTTGTTCGTATGTTTGGGTGTTTGTGTTCGTGTATGTGTATGTTTGGGTGTACGTGTGCGTATACACGAGTAGCCCGTTTAATCTTCATGCTGACAACTGCCACGACCCATTGTATTTGCGGCAGACTTTTGCCACACGGGCCTTCTCTCCAAGAAGTGCTCCACTTATGGCATTTGCAAGGTGAGCACACGTGTGCATATATGTGTGTGTGTGTTCGTGTGGACGCGTTCAGTTTGGAGGTTTGTGACTGCCACTGACCGAGGCTGCTTCACCATGACATAAAGGCTGCTTTACTGCACTGTAACCTCACCACTTGCATCCCCCACCCAACAATTGCTGACACCTGCTTCCGTGTCTTTACGCTTCGTGTTGCAGGGTGACTTCTCACTCAACGTGAGCGTGGCGACTGGCTTTGACGTTGCCATCAACGTGACCAACAAAGGAAAACTCAACATCGATGTGTCCGTGGCCGACTTCCAACTCACCGAGATTACCGACGACCTTTGTCCAGCGTACGCGTGCTGTGTTTGCCGTTGTGTTCGCTGTCGTCGTGCATGTTGTTACTTGGTTCCGCTCATGTACCTTATTGGATATGTTGTTTCTCCATGTTCACACACATTGTCTGCACACTGCTCACCCTTGCAATCCTTTATCTCCCCCGATTTCTCGCTTTCACTCACTCACTCACTCATCCTCTTCCCCATCTGCTGCCATTGCCACTGAACAGGCTGGACAATGTGCTCAATTCCACGCTGTTGCAGAATGTGCTGACCAAAGTTGTCGACGGACTGCTCAAGGACGTGGCAAACGACCTGAGCACAGCGCTCACCAACATCACCAACAGCGGCTTCAACACCACGGCGGCGCACGTGTGGTGGTCGTACTCGCACCTCACGCAGAACACAAACACAAGCGCGATCATCCTGATGGACGTGACGGTCGCCAACGCGAGTGACGTGCCTGGGCCCGCGCAGCAGATTGCACAGCCGCCACTGCCCTCGCTCCAGGACGGCGACATCCACATGGTCAGTGATGGTGATCGATGGTGATCGATGGTGATCGATGGTGATCGATGGTGATTGAGTGGTGCCTGGGGCTGATAGTGAAGAAGGTGGTGGTGGTGGTGGTGGTGGTGGTTGAATCGAAAAGGATTTGGGTTAATGTGATGATGGTGGTGCAATGAGCCAAGAGATGATTTGTATGCTGCCACTGCGCTGCCCGTTGTTGGTGGCGCATTCCTCACCATCGCCATCGCCATCTCCATCACCACCGCTACCACCACGGCCACGTGACAACAGGTGATCGGGGACTCTGTGCTGACCAATGCCGTGTTCGTCCTCGCCCAGGCCGGCGCCCTCGACATTAACTCAGCCATTGACATTGGCAACGCGACCGCTGTCCTCAACGTCACCGTTGGTGCGCTGCTTGATGTGGTGGTGCTGTCGTACCATGGTGTTGTTGATGTGATGTTGAGTGTCCTTGTGTGGGATTAAGTTCTATTTCTTGCACCTTTCCTGTCCCGAATGTGCTCATCTCATTCACCGTCATCACAACGACCACCACCATCTTAAACACCACCAATCCCATCATCATCATCATGAACACCATCACTTCAACAGAGTCATCCCCCGCGCCTGTGATTGACTTCAACTCGACGTTTGAAACCATTCGCCTGACCTCCAAAGTCAAGATGCTTGTGCCCTTCACACCAAACGACCACCTCAGATCCAGCATCGACCTCGCACTCAAGTTCAAGGCAAGTCTCGTGTGTGTGTGTGTGTGTGTGTGTGTGTGTGTGTGTGTGTGTGTGTGTGTGTGTGTGTGTGTGTGTGTGTGTGTGTGTGCGTGTGTGTGTGTGTGAAACATAACTGGTTTGGTGTCGACACACATCTTCGCTTCCTTCTCACCCTTGACTCTGTTCCCCACGCCCCGCCCCCACCCCTTGCCTTCGTCGACCACAGGTGAACGTGACGGAGATGAAGGTCAACGGGTCAGACGTCTTCCGCGTCAAACTGCACATCAAGGAGCTCGCAATCACCAAGATCCACAGCTGCACAGGTGGGACAGGGAACCTGTGTGTGTGTGTGTGTGTGTGTGTGTGTGTGTGTGTGTGTGTGTGTGTGTGTGTGTGTGTGTGTGTGTGTGTGTGTGTGTGTGTTGATCAACATCTGTATCCAAATCTCATACGTAAGAATCCTCGACAACACTGCTTGTTTCGCATCACTCAAACACTTACAACATCATGATGTGTGCAGGCCCGTGTGAACTGATTAAGTTTGTGCAGCGCTTCCTGCCACACAACGGCGTGAAGATTATCAACGATCAGCTCAAACAGGTGCCTGTTTGCATTCTGTTTGCATCCTGTTTGCATCCTGTTTGCTTGCAAGCACGGTTTGTACGCGATGAAGGATCTCACGAACACTCGCAGACGCACGCGCACGTACACGCACATGACACTGTTGCCTACTCACCCTCCCAATCATCCCATCCCTCACACACATACGTACGCACACACACTCTCACTCACACGCACACACACCCTCACTCACTCACACGCACACACTCACACACTCCCTCACACGCACACACTCACACACTCCCTCACTCACTCACTCACACTCCCTCACTCACACACTCCTTCACTCACTCACACTCACACACTCCCTCACTCACTCCTTCTCCTTTTGTGTGGCAGCATCCGCTTGATGTGCCCAAGGGCGTCATCACCGACTTGAGAGCCGACTTTGGGCCGTCATATCTCAACGTGGCGCTGGGATTGGACGAAGCGTTTGTCACAACAGCGCTCACACACGCACTCGCACACACGCGTGCACAGCGGCTGCAGCTGGTGGAGGGTGTTGAGGATGGTGGGTTGGCGTGCCCGATTGAGACCAAGGCGAAGTGTGTCGACTCGCTCGCGTCTCTTGTGCAGGCGCCATAACTGGCAATGGTGCTGTGAGAGGTGGTGGTGGCGGTGGTGGCAGTGCTTGAAGGGGTCGTGGAGGGGCGTTAACATCCAAGCCACTCTGAGTTTTCCCGCTGTGTTTTGTTGGTTGCCACTCGTTGGTCTGTTGGTTTGATTGCCGATGCGTTTATTGGGCAAACAGCTTGCAAGGGAAGTGGGGATGATGATGATGGTGATGATGATGGTGGTGATGATGATGATGATGATGATGATGATGATTGATGGTATGTCATTGCATTGTTTCGTACAAGGGGTAAGAATGAAGTTACATGAAGTCAAGACGCGCAACAACAAGTCAACGTCACGTAATGCCAGATAAAAAACAAAAGAGGCGTTGACTGTGTTCGTACAAGGAGATGCCAACGAACACAAACAACAAGCACAACAAATACAAACACAACACAACCAGGCGCCTTGGCAGCAGAAGAGGGAGCAAGAAGAACTGACGATGAAGGGAAAGAAGAGCAATGGCAACGTGTGCACACAGCAACGCTGGCACACGCACAATGTGACAAGCAGCAGCATCAAAAGGGTGTTGGGAAGGGGGATTGTTCCAACAACATTACAGCATGAACAAAACAAGGGAGCAGGCAGATTGGGCGAAGAATCAGGGAAAAGCAAAACAGAAAGCAACAGACGCAAGCATGAAAATTGTCTTCGCATCTTGGGGCATGAGGAATGAAGGCAAGGTCATCCCAAACATATCCACACACACACACACACACACACACACACTCACACACACACACACACACGCACACTTTCTCTCTGTCTCTCTTGTTTCAGAAGTTGTGCTTGCAGGCGCGTGACAACACTACAACCACGCCAGAGCGCAAGCTCAATCACAGCACCAACACGTGGGTCTCAGTCGAGACCAACGGGTCCCTCGAGAACGGCGACAATGACGAGAGAGAGCGGATACAGCGAGAAGATCCACAGCGCGTCGACCAGGCGGTGGGCCCGCATGTGCGCAGCGGCACCAACCACCAGCTGTTGTGAGGCGCAGGGTGAGTGTGTGTGTGTGAGTGTATTTGTGGATATGTGAGTGTGTGTGTGAGTGTATTTGTGGATATGTGAGTGTGTGTGTGTGAGTGTATTTGTGGATATGTGTGAGTGTGTGTGTGTGTGTGTGTGTGTGTGTGTGTGGT